ATCTTAGAGATTCTATGGCCTTTTTCTCTGGTAGAGAGAGGTTGTTGTGGTGGCGTGTGTTGCTGATTATTTCATTGTTCATTCTTTCCCTGAAGTAGTCAATGTAGCGGTCAAGGTTAGGGTTTCGTCCACAAGAAAAACTACAGACCTTGATCCCCCCGCTACCTAACCCGGGGACTTTTTACATGCTCCCTAAAATCCACAAACAAGGGAACCCTGGCAGACCTATCATATCCAACCATGGGACCCTAACTGAGGAAATATCAGGTTTCGTTGAATCAATCCTAAAACTGCTTGTCACCCACAGAGCGAGTTTTGTACAAGACACTACAGACTTTCTACGGAAACTTAAAAACATAGACCACCTTCCCAGCAACACACTTCTAGCCACCATGGACGTTACCAGCCTATATACCAACATCCCACACCAGGATGGCATCCATGCCTGCCTTACATATCTACAGGAACAAGATTACAACCCAGAATACAGACCCAAAGATATCACTGAGCTTATACACTTCATCCTCACACACAACAATTTCACTTTTAATAATCAACACTTCCTCCAGATGATGGGAACAGCTATGGGCACTAAAATGGCCCCACAGTATGCCAACCTTTTTATGAGCCACCTGGAAGAAGACTTCCTCAAGAACTGCACCATCAAACCCTTGCTATACTTAAGATATATCGATAACATTTTCATCATTCGGATTGAAAACCTACAATCTCTGATTGAGTTTCATCAGAAATTCAACAATCACCATCCCTCCATCCAACTTTTTCTAGAATACTCCAGCACCAACATCTCCTTTTTAGACACAAGGATCAGTATCCAGAATGATAAAATACAGACCATGTTATACAAGAAACCCACAGACCAACATACATATTTGCACAGAACCAGCAATCACCCTAAACACACCAAAAAGCCTGTGATATACAGCCAAGTCCTCAGATACCACCGCATTTGCACTGAAGAGAACACCCGGGATCGCCACCTCACCAATCTTAAAAAGGCTTTTACCCAACAAGGACACGCCTCCAGAGATAGACTGCACGTTTGAAAGAGCCACCTGGATACCATGTGAAGAACTGCTGCAGTACAGAAGAAAACCCCCCACAAATCGCACACCGCTGGTTATGACACATCGTCCCTCCCTTGAACCTGTACAGAAAATCCTCAAACAACTGCAACCCATACTAGAAAGAGACCCTATTCTTAAAAAGATCTTCCCAGAGCCACCCATCCTAGCCTTCAAACAAGCATCGAACCTCGCTAACCACACCACCAGAAGCAAACTTCCTCAAGCCTAGAACACACCAAAAGGATCCAGACCGTGCCATGACAAGAAATGCAAAACCTGCCAACACATCTCCACCACCCCCACTATTACTACCCCCCACAACAGAGCCATCAGCATCCCAGGATCTTACAGCTGCACCTCCAGGAATGTAATATACCTCATCCAATGCACCAAATGCCCTGATGGAAAATACGTAGGAGAGACCAAACAACAACTGCGCACCAGAATGAATGCACACCGGAAATCTATCAAAGGCAGAAATACCCAATTACCTGTGGGGGCACGTTTCTCACAAGAAAACCACTCTCTCTCCAATCTCTCAGTCCTGATCCTCAAAGGAAACTTACAAAACACTTCTCAGAGACGAGCCTATGAACTCCACTTCATCAACCTCCTCGTTACTAAAAATCATGGACTAAATATAGACATTGGATTTATGACATATTATACCCTGCCTGACATCTGACTCCCCAGGTCTCTCTCCACTTTCATCCCCCTTCTCTCCCTTCCCCCCGCCTCTCCAGCCTGTCTCTCACCCATCGACTCCTCAATCTACATTTTCACTGACTACCTGTCTTGTATACATACCAGCCCAGCCGCTGGCTTCTTTACTTTTCATTCCATCCAGGAAGAGCACACACCAACTGCTGAAACTTCCTTAGCCTGACGAAGGGTTTCTGAACCCGAAAGCTTGCTTAATAATTATTTTCCAACTATTTGGGTTGGTCTAATAAAAGATATCAGATTCACTCAAGGAACCTTGTCTGCCTGCGTAACTATAAAGCATTCAATCAGTTTCTATCCAATTTTTTTCAGCGTCCATTAAACGAAAAGGTATGTCATTAAGAGCTAACACATAGTAGTAACACTGGATACTTTACCTGTTCTGCTGTGAAGAGCGGCTCGTCATTGATGCAGGACACTATGATAGAATGCATATCTAGCTGCTCTCTCAGTTCTTCATCATCTGACAAGTCAAGGTTAAAACCATCGTTTACCTAAAACCACAAAGAAAAAGGAGGTGAGGGCTGAAATTAAATTATAAAAAGTCTCTAATAATAAATAATGGAACCTGAATTAGATTCTTGCTTTTAAGCACTTAAAACCCAATAAACCTCAATAACAATTAAAATGAAATTACAAAGGAAACACATTTTATCAAAATAATCAACATTTACTTTTGACAAAAACATAAGCATCCACATTCTTTGTTTTGTCAACATGCTAAAAAGTACATAACTTAGCAATGAAGCCACTCACGTGCCACCCACTGAATGCCATACAAACATTTGTAGAAAAGGCAGTGTTAAGTCCATCATTTGTAATTGTTCTCTACTCTTTCAAATGGAAGACATGAAAGTAATGAACAAGAAAGCTATACAAATCTGATAAAACTAAAATCTGTTATAAAATAACATTGTTGTAAGATCAGTGATATTTATATATTGAAAGACATCAGAATTTTGATGTAAGCAACAATTACGAATACATTTCCCAAAAACAAAACCATTTTTTTCCTGGAAACACACCCTGTACGTTTTATTAAATGAAAATATACCATATATATCATGGAAATAATTATGTAAACATTTATCCCTCAAATACATAAAAACACATTCTTTGAATAGCTTGCAGCTCAGTAAGTAAAACAAAAAACCCGCAATAATCAAATCCTCTGATTCCCCTAGCTACCGATCTGTTAGGCCTACAATTTTGCCTTAAAATACTGATATACTTCGAAATGATTTGCTTTTTTAGCATCGTATTAAAATGTTTCAGTCAAATGAACCTGAATGTGCCAAATGTACGTAAGGCTCAGTTGGCAATTCAGCAACACGGGTCTTTTAAACAAATTGTGAAAATTTTGAATTCAACATGTCATTTATAGCCACTTGTTCAAACTCTGGGCATTCAGCATTTGTCATGCTGGGTACAAAAAAAAAGATCTACCATCACTGAATGTGCAATGTCAGGGTACTTTTTACACTTTAGATCAATTTAGATTTTTGCCACATCTGCAATGTTACTGCCAGAATGTATTTTGTCAAATCCTTCCAAAATTAGCTTCAACTGCTTTTGTAAAATCTATCATCTGTGAAGTAACTTGTGATAAACATGTGCCCAAACCCCTCTGCTGTTCAGTGCAATTCTCAACATACTTGTGACAGGTGGATACAAATATACAATCTTCTCGAGAACCCTGCCAACTGTCACTGAAAAAGGAGAATCATTGTCCCAACTTTCTAACTGTCAGGCAGCAAAAGAATTTCTGTTCTTTTGAGATTCAAATCAGGCCATAAGTATATAATAAAACAAATTCACATTTAAAAACAAAATGATTCCCTGTCCAATTCAACAGTTACAATGCAATTTAGAGATTAATTCTGTAAGGCACTGAGTATCTCCAGTCCTTCCAGAATTTATGGAATTTGTGAAGGAGCCCTGGCATCTTCTATATCAAGTCCATTTTGCATTTTAGAGAAGGCATGTGCTCAACCTCTTTCCACTCCAAATAAGCAAACTTAATAGGCTTTAAAGGTGCAAGACTTAGAACTTCAGACCCACACAGAATATCCCCATTTTGAGGATATGGGCAACTCCTAAATACTGATCTACTTTGTGCTCACAGGTATACAGGAAGGTACCTGCCATTATTCAGAACACTGATACTGCTGAGCTTTGGAGAATAGGCTTAACAGGCAAATGTCGTGTGTCCTCTTTATAAAATTAGCTTCCAATTGCCCCCAAAAGGTGTTGTTTGGATGTGAAAGATCCTCAGACTTATCTTGTATACTGTACTGCAACGCTGAGGGCATCAATTCTGGATGCAACTATTTTTGTCATATAATAGACCACCTTAATCTGAAATCATGTAATCTTAACTTCTGATGGCAAAATCTTAAATGGTTGCTGCATCTCCTGGAGAAGGCATAACTTTTCTTAAATACCAAACCACAAGACCAGTACTTGTGCATGCCGGTGCATCAATGCTGTATATTTTTTCGGCTACTACCCAGTCACATCTTAATATATTTCTCAGTCCAGAAACACTCAGCTCTGGAACTCTATGGATACAGATTTAGGCAGTGAAGACTCAATCACCAAACACGTATAGCAAGGAATAGCTGATTTCTGCTTACTTGCACAGTACCACACATGAAAAGCCAGGGTGGAAGGAAGATGTTTCTACCCTTCTTTCTTCCTCAACACAGGTTTAATTGAAGAGACACTACTATGAAATTCCTAACAGTCTATTACAAGAAACTTCACCTTGGAGTCTTGGGATGCTTTTCATCTTATTCAAGATGATATCGGGCATCCTTCTGATAATGGATTAGGGATTTTAGTTTCTCAAAGAACAGGTCAGCTTCCCCTTCTTTTGTTCCAGAGAGAGGGGAATCTCAGGAAACTAGGGTCAGTTGACCATTCTCTCTCAACATCCCACCTTCAAGTCCCTTCCCCATGACAAAAGATATACTCCAAGGCAGGAATCATCCAAGCAAAAGAGTCCCTTTCATAAAGTCTGCGTCTCCTGCAATAAAGACACTGACACACACATTTATATTTTGACTGCAAAGATGTAATTATAAACCCATTCAGAGCAGCTCAATGAACTCTCAAAATAAACCACGATAAATAAGTCCAAATAAATAAATACACATAACAGAAGCCAAACATAAGAGACAGCTGCCAGGCAGCGCTGCCTGATATTGCTACTTTACCCCTGAAACCCTATAAATGTTTCTTTTGGTTTTACCTTTTTATCCCGACTCTTCCCCCCATCTGCTTCCTGTGAAGTGGATTCACTTTTACCTCATTTAATCAAAAGCATGACAGAGCTCAAAATTGTCCTCCTTTTCTCATGGGTTTTACACGAAGAACGTTGGCTCAGAGTCCAGTTTCTTGGAGTCAGAATACCTGCAGAACTTGTCCTAGTTTTCTTCCTCAGCTGTATTTTTTTAATTTCAGTAGACTATCAAGCAATGATTCTTAACCTGGGTACCACAGTACCCTGGAGCGCTAGGAGATCTTTCCAAGGATGCAGCACTGTACTGTTAGGTATGCAAGCACTTATACGATTCACAAGATAAACGCAGAGATTGCAAATGGGAATGTCAAAAACATTCTAACCTGCTGTGGTCTTTCAGAGTCCTTTGCAACAGAAATGAATTATTATTTTTCCATTTCCAAAAAGCAACAAAAACTGTGAGCTCACATTTTCCAAGGGGTACCCCGAGTCTAAAAAGGTTGTGAAGCACTGCTATAGAACAAGGGGCACACTTAGGCTTCTTTATGTTCTTTAGCTAATTTTCCCCCCTGCTCTTTACATTTTTCTCCAAAGGAACTATTTTATTTGTTGAATAATAAGAGGAAAATGTTGCCGAATTCTTTGCTTCATAAAGAACTGACTACAACATATTTGGACTTGGATCCTACAATTGGATCCACAAGTGCAGTTTTGCTTGTACCCATCTTGCTGGAGAATCAGACGTTGGTGGGAAAAAGTTCATGCTAAATTTACCAAAGCATAGGAATACTTCCAAAAGGATTCAGATAGCACTCAATACACAACAGAGAAGAATGATTTTAAGTGAAACAAAACCACTTTCACAGTTTAATACTGCCTTTTCCCATGCTCCTTTTCTTATGCAAATTGGTCCATTTGTTGGCTTGTCAGCTTACTGACAAAGTTCTGAAGATGGGAAGCAGAAATATATCATTAAAGGAGAACTTACTGCTAATGACAGTGTAAGCATGAAAAATAATATTATAAGGGTTTCAGAAAACCAACATTTTTAATACAAATTACAACCTCTTCTGTTTTGTTGCTAAAAAGATGTTAGCCAGTCAGAACTTACCCCTTTTTCTGCAAGATTTAGTGTTGGCAAATGCAAAGTTCTGGTGTGGGAGGACTTCCAGTCAACTGGCATGACATTACCATAATTATCAGTCAAAGCATTCCAAATCCTATATATAAAGAATGAAATAACAAATTTGCAGACATCAAAACGAAAAACAACTGATATTAAGATAAAAAGAATATCTTTTGTTGATGTCTCTGTCAATGAGTATATTCCCTGCCTCCGCATATCCCAAAAAATATTATGACCGATTATTTTTGTGTTTTAAAGTTAAAGAAATAAAATCTTCAAGTTCAGCTTTGTTTATACATCTTTCTTGGTTCCAAAGAGACAAGTAATTTGCTAATGTGTGTACATCAGGAAAATTTTGAAAAAAGAGAGGGGGAGATAAAAGAAAGAACTATGCAGCATGCATCACTAGTTACATCGCCATAATCAAAAGCTGTTTGCGGGGTAGGCAAGTTCTCCCTTTGTCTGGCTGAATTTTACCAATGATGGCTCTTTTACCTTTTTCATTCCCCCTCTATTTTACTCCAATTTGCCTTGCTGCCAGAACCTGCAAAGCAGAAATTAGCAATGCTGACTATGAACACTCGAGACAAAAATCATTTTTGTTAACAGGATTTGTCTTCAGAGCTAAAACTTTCATTTTTACCCTAGGGTAACTTACATGTGTGAACCATGCAGAGATATAAAAGCAGAAAAAAACACCAAAACATCCATACCTAGGTGATGGGACTCAATGTGAAACTTAGAGATTGAATTTCAGATGCCTGTAGATGGGTGAGATTACCATGAAATAAAAATACTTGAGTGCTTTGTCCTCACTGTGTATATCTTGGTGTAGTTCAGACAGGTTAATTACCACCCTGGGTAATAAAAACATTGCAACCTTTTGGCAGTATGGAAAAGCCCTATGTGAAGACTGTGCGATTTAAAACAATGTTATGATTCAACACTGAAAAGCACTGGAGTGAAGTGAATATTATGTTGTGGGAACAAAATTTACAAAGTACAGTTACAAACTCATTTGCCACAACTTTAAACATACTGCTTTCTGCCTAAAACTTTCCCTATTTAGTTTTCCCTGAAAGGTAGAGATTTGAGTTTTTGAAATAAGTTAAATAAATATTAAAGAAGCTGTTTGGAGCTTAAGAAAGTATTTCTCCCTTAAGAAAAGACACATTCTCTTTTGGAAAATATAATACATTAAGAAAATCTTCAAACAAAACAAATGCCTGCACCTCAGTGACAGACAAGGTGCTTTGGGTACATCAGATATCTTTTATTAGACCAGCTCAAATGGTTGGAAAAAAAATCTTTTTAGCAAGATTTCGGGTACAAATACCCTTTGTCAGGCTGAGGAAGCATCTGCAGTTGTGGCACTCTGGCCAAGCCTTAAGAAGTCAGAAGCTGATACACATTCATTATGGGTTTGTTTCCCCCACTGCCCATCTAGGGTGTGGACACGTGTTGCACTGAACGAGTACCCAAATGACTTCACCTAGTGGCCAGGAGGACTGGGCCTGCAGTGCACCACCCTACTGTGGAGTAAAGCTCCCACATCTAGGTAGTGGGGAACCAGGATTTTGTAAAGGCAGGTGCAGGACAAGTGATGGGGTGGCGGTACCCTGGCTCCCAGCCTCACTGCTCTACTCAGGTGGGCAGACTGCGCTGAAGGAGCAGCGTTCAGGCACTTTTATTGAGTTCCACAAGCAGGCAAGGATCTCCCCGCATAGCAGGGAGGCTCCAGAGCTGCTCCACCCCTCTCAGTGAGAGACAGCGGCAACAGCAGGTAGGTTTTGCCCACTCTGTGCCCACTCCTGGGTTGGCAGGAAAAGCTGGGGGGGGGGGGGGGGGGGGCAACGGGATGCAAGGATGAGCCTGCCCGCCATGGTAGCCCTGAGCTGAGCCTCCCCATACCTGGGGACAGCAGCAGGCAGGCAAGGGGAGGGAGGAGGGAGAGAGGTGCCTTGAGCAAGGGGTCTTACCTGGCTCAGCGTCTTTCCAGAGAAGCCCCCCTGCGGCCTGCCCCTGCACCCGGGGGTGAAGCGCAGGGAAGCAGCCCCTGGGACAGCTCCTCTGCCCAGCTCCCCCCAGCATGGGGGCGCCCGAGCTCCTCCCGCCCCAGCTCAGCCCAGGCGAAAGGAACCAAACGCGCCGGGGGTGGGAAGACCCGGCCGCGCACGCGCACTCACTCGTCGTGGCGCAGGGCGCTGGGCTCGCTCAGCGGCGG